CCCCGCCCCCCAATAAGTCCCACTGGTTTGTATTAGGAACATTACAAATTGGTGATTGAAATGAATACCAAGGATAAAGAATAAAGCTTTGGCATTTAAACTCAAGGGTGCAGTACTGCATAACTGACAGTGAGCATATGTTGCAATATACCTAATTCAGACAATTCCTAATGAACACTGGCTACCAGATGGTGAGCAAATCAGAATGAATCAGCAGAGACTACCCAGGGCACTGAATGGAAAGATTGGAAAGAAAACATTCAAAGTGATTCCTGAATTTAGATAGAATTTATCCAGCAAAATATAATCTACAGCAGATTAGGAAAATTGTACAGTGTCCACTCTAGAATTCTTGCGTTATAAGCTCACATACATTTCATAATACCTACATTCTGAATAACAGGACTGCAATTAGAATAAACTCCATTTATTTCTATATTGATAATTTGCATTTTAAGAAGTGTTACTAGAAATCTATCAAATTTAAATTACTATTCTATAGCAAAAATATAGCATTCTGTGCTAACAGAAAGATCAAAATGAGATATACAGGGAAGTGGCTTTTAATGGTCATACTATAAATAATCATTCAGGATTCCAACCAGATCAAGCTCCTTTTACTACTTGTCTCTGTCTTAAGGGCCACCATAAATACCTCAAAATGCCTCCTTTGCGCTGAAGAAGCCTAACACTCCCTTGCACTGAAATCTGAGATGGGCACATCAGAAGAGGATGGAAAAGGAGGCCTTTTTAGTGCAATTTTACAAGAAGGCACAATGCTTTTTTAGTGACTAATCAAGATGTTACTGTTTTTCTGGCCTTTAAGGGTTAAACTAGGATTATTTATTCCTCTTCATTTAATAGCAATATGGGTTGCTGATATCAAGGGCAGCTCATTTGATTTCAACTGGTTTATTAACATGGTATAACCTAAAGCAGTGGGAACTGGCTGGCTGGGAAATTCTGGGAGTTGAAGTCCATATATCGTAAAGTCCCCAAGGTTGAGAAACACTGATCTAAAGACTGTTTGGCAAACAATGGCAAATTGTTCATTTAAAATCCTAATTAAGGTGGCAAATCTATTTAAACTATTAGCCCTGCTTTTCAAATTATTCTGTGAAAGGTTCTTCTAGTTTTTAGATTGAAAATTGGCAATCTTTTCTAACCCTGAGTATTCCCCTTTCAAAAATCAAAAATGTGTGAAATATCATGCAATCTCATTAAATCTTCTCAGATCTCATGGAGCAATGGCAAAATTTTGTGAGGTTTTGGTGTTCTCATGCAAGACTGTCCAAATCTGCAGAATTACAGTGTGTTATTATTTTTAGTGGGGTCCTTTGGAAATTGTCTGCTGTTCCCTAGTTTTAGCCAAAAATCAGTTATATATAATCAGATTTACAAAGGGTAGTCAATTGTCATACATTAGAAACTAGTGTCATGCATGTCATTATGTCCAAAGTGATACTTATTAAATACTTATTCTTTAGAAATCAGAAAAGAATACTCCAGTCAGGAAAGATAGAAAAATTATCACTCTAACCACAAAGTTGAAGAAATTTCATGGAGAATCACACACCTCTGGTGGACATTACAACCATATATCTTTGTATGAAGCCATACACCAGAAACAGGCTTTGTTTGTAGCAAGATTTCCATTGAAAATCAAGAGTTACACACTGTATTTCCCCATAAGTATGATTGTTTTTTATTTTTATTGATAGGCCACCTAGATTCATAAATTATGAGTTAGGCAGTCTTACTAACTGCAAACATAAATAAAGTTGTTGGAATATATACTGTAGCTCTTACTGTCAGCAGAAGGTGGATGTCTGATTATAGCATCCTGACTGTTATTTACAAGATTTTCAACTTCATTGGTCCATGTAGGATGCCACTGTGGACCAAGTTCTGCTTCTTCATTTCTGTCTCCATCACTGGAGGCCACAACTGGGGTAATAATGATTGAATCAATTATGAGCAGGATATATGCAGAATCAAAACTTTTCCCACCAAATTCTTACTTCTTCAAAAGTTTAAAAAGAGGAAAAGGAATATAAGAGATACTCAACCAAACTCTTCCTCTTACTGCCAAAAGTTGTGACCTGTTGCAATATATCCAGTAGTAATGCACAAAGAAGCAGATGGGGGCCAAGGGAAAAACAAGAAAGAAATGCCTCCTTTTCCTACCTTACACTGGCAAGCAATGCCACTTTTATGTGTGCACAGACATGAAAATATCTGGAGAAAGTTCATATATTCTAACTCCTAATAAATGTATTAACACCAGACCTTAAGACTTATGCTAAAAGCGATTACATTGTATTTTCATTGTTTTTCTCTTTAAGAAAGTAAACACAACATTACATTCAACGTTTTATATCCACAGATAGATGTTCCATGTATCAGCACTACTAGCTGTTTGAGGAGTCCATGACATGTAATAGGAACAACAAAGTAGAATGAATAATAAATATATCTCCTCTTATTAGCAATGCTATGCATATTCTAATTATTTAAATACAGTGGGGCAAAAAAGTATTTAGTCAGCCACCAATTGTGCAAGTTCTCCCACTTAAAAAGATGAGAGAG